AAATATAACTTGCTGTGCCTATTTTTTTGTGCCTAGTATTACAATATTTGGGCCAGTGATTACTTTTCGCTATAAAGCACCTGCTGCAAGTTCTGTAATCGTTCCTTGTTCATTTAAGATTAGCACAAAGTAGATGACGTATACGATGGGGAAGAAAATCGTTATTATTTGAACTGCAATAAATTAATCTTGTTGAATTGTTCACAGAATAATAAAAAAAAGACAGTGATTACGACATCGTGAATGGGAAACCGTTCCATATTTACGTGAAATGAATACTTATATGAATGCCCTAATCGAAAGGCATGTCTTGTCTTTTGAGGGACAAATACAGGCTACACATATCCTAGTGTTTGTTCCTATGCGTCTTTCATGAAAATTAAATTTACATATCTAAAACAAAGCCTTTCTCTAATAGGCATTTGGATATGATTTGTGGGAATGTACTAACTGAACTTCCCGAAAAGATGTATATTTATAACACTTTAAAAAAACCTGTGCTTGAATTTCCAAAATTCTTTGAAACGAAATTTGCTCTCAAGTATTATCTGTTAATGTACTTTATGGACGAAGAGGCTTGAACATTTTCCTATGCAATAAAACAGCTGTAACTGGAGAACTTCATAAAATATTTAAGGGTGTAATTTATATCCCATAAGATATACATTAGATCAATTTATTAGTTATACAAATACCAATTTAAAACAATACTTAGGGTTGAATTTATATGTTTTAAATTATACAAACAAAAACAATTTTTTAGCTTAAAATATGACTATTCATAAAATATAATAAAACTCTGCTGCAGTTCAACGACTTAGACGCATTCTGTATGCCATTGGTCTTCAAACTGTGTTCCACGGAACCCTGGGGTTCCACGAAGAATACCCAGGGGTTCCACGAGTCACACATACAAGAAAAATCGAAAAGAAACTTGTAAATGTGTATGCAAAAAGGATTTACGTTCTCTAAAATGTTTGCATACCCACAGGAATTTAAAGCTCATCCCAGTCATTAAGAAACTTAAAATTTTATTTATACATAATAACTTTATTTTGCAATACTTTTTAAACATTTAGCACAATATAATAAAAGAAGGTAAAACGTTTTATATTTATATATATTATACTTACTAGAGAACGGGAACATTTTATTGTTTATTATGCCGTGTTCCACGAGATAGTTTTATATAAGTTAGTACAATGTCTTGCAAAACTAAATAATTTTCTGACGAAAATGCACCTTTTTGTATTTGTGGAATAAACGCTTAAAATAAAGGAGAGGGAACATCTTATTAGCATATTAACAGATTCATTGTTGAAAATCTAAATTTATGCAAGAACAGCGCCTAAATTTTAGGTTGCAAGTTCATGCAAAATACACAGTATTTCTCTCTAAGCTATAAACATTTTGATGCCATTCAGATTGATGTGTATAAGTAAAAAATATCTCTCAGCGTGAGTGGCTACAGAAACAAATGAAACTCAGAACATGTAATGCGATTGCAGTTATTCTAAATAGACCTAGACTTCATTAGTTTGTGTGAAAAAATGCAAGCATGTATCCCAGTTATTAAATATAATGCATGGGTAGCTGACACTTGGATCACGAATTAATATTATTAATGAGTAAATCATATTAAAAATAGATTAAAATTTTTCATTAATAAATGAAATACCTTTTTAATTGCCTTTACAATGATCCATTGTTAATATACTTTAAATATTATTTTAAGATATGTCTTCTAACTGTGAGTGTGGAAAAGGGTTCCACGAAAACACTTTCTCGTTCTAGGGCATGGATGTCTGAACTATGACCACTTGTGGGCCGCATTGCAAAAACAATTTGGGGGGGGGCATATAATATTTTTTTTAACAAATTGAAATAAAGATTTTTTAACTATATGTAGTTTTATTAAAATAAACTCATTTTTATTATAATTTTGTAAAGTTTGAATTAGACATGAATAGGTACAAACACACACACACACATTTATTTTAAATTTGTAAAAGTTTCGTTCCATTTAGTTTTGATTTCATAAAGATGGGGAAAAAAATCAAGTTAATGAAATGAATGAATTTGCGTTTGTACTAAACAAGCAAATCGATATCGGGTTCAATAGACGAAATTGCAATTCTTAATGTATTTTCAAAATGTTTGTCAGTGATCTTTGTCCTATTTTTTTTTTTGTATGTTTCATTCTTGGAAAATAACAGTTCACAAATATAAGTACTGCCAAAAGCTGAAGGCATTAATAAAGCATGAGTGTGAAAATGAGGATATTTATCTTGCGGTGTAGGTAATCTTTATAAAACTCCAGTATAGAAACATTCCCAAATTTTTCTTTCAGTTGAATGTCACTTTGCAGTTCAATGCACTCCATTTAAAGATTTGAAGGTAATTTATTTATTTCTAGAGAAAACGGGGTAGTTAATATATTGAAATACTCTTCGTTTTTTTCGAAAATCTTGAAATCTTCTTTCAAACTCTTCAATTAAATCGAAAATTAATGCAGCATATTTTGCATAGTTTGTGCATACATTTATTTTTTTAAACAAAAATATGTAGATTGAAATATTTTCATAATTTGCGTTTGGGCCGCATTTTAAAAGCTTCTGGGCCGCACTTTAGGCAAGCAGGTTCTAGGGGTTCAATGAAAACACCTTCTAGTTCTAGGGGTTCTGTGAGTTTGTAATGTGTCTCTGTTCCTACTTCCCTCTAATCCCCCTTGTCTACTCTCGGACCCGGCTAGATGTGTAGGGAGAACTGAATAATCAGTCGACATGATTCACTCTAGTTTTTATTGTCACAAAATATCAAGCAAGCACAATAATAATCCAATTAAGATTGTTGATCAATACTAAGAACGCGAAGGTTAGACTAGATAGCCTGGGGATAATATTTACGGAACCTCAACTGATTTCTACGATAACCTATAAAAGCTCAATTTCAACTCCGCCGCGCACTACAAGTTATTCTCAAACTTCTATTTAAATAATGCTAACAATACCTGTACTCTTGTAAAGTCGAAGTCCTACTGTTGAGGCCTTGAACGCTTATACTTGACGGGATCAAATCCGATCCGATTGATCCTCACTGGGAAATCTTCACTACACATTTTTATAAACTTAAATCCGCACTGCAATAACTCCCGATCCTCCACTCACTAACTCTCAAAACTCCGAATACAGAATTTATATAAAAAACTTAATTTGCATAATCACGTTTTCTTACCTTCGGTGAAAGTTGGTTGAGAAAAATATTTCCCTAAAAGAATCCTCAAGGTGTTAGTATGAGTCGCGTATAGATCTGTCACAAGTTGAAAAAGTTTGCATACCACTGCTGTATGCCAACTAAGATGTCATTTTCAGTTAGATAGAGGACACTTAAATGTCGATAGATCCCCTTTTAATGGGTTTCTTTCAAAATAATGTTTTAGGGTATTAAAGTTATGTATAATTAAAACACTTAATTTTGTTTTTTCATTCAAAACCGATTGAAATTTGATTTACTTTTTCCCAATACCAAAAATCTTTTTAATTGTGTAATTTTATAAAATACAATTTAATTAATTAATCTTTAGAAAATTCAGTAGTAATAATAATAATCACCAAATTGTAACCAAATAAATTACCAAACACCAAAATGTAGCCCAATCATCGACACAATTTTTCCTAAAATAAATATATATATAATCACCAAGATACAACAAAGACCCTGAAGTTTAGCAGAAAGGCCCAATATTCAACTTATCCAGCCCTTGCACAAATTTAATATAATTTTAAACGATTTTTCAATAAAAATGAGAAAATCGAACGACCGAAAGGAAATGAAAGACATTCCAATCCCATGGCAACATAAAAAATGTTTACCTCATATTTCTCACTAACAAGTCAAGATAGGACTTTGTATGAGAACCAAAATGTATAAAAATAGCGATTTTGTAATTTTTTCAAGCGAATAATTTGATAAATTTTATGAATGGATAGATCTAGATTAGTTAAAAAGCAGATTTAATTTTTTAAATAACGTTATTTGAATTTCTCAATCATTTTGACAGAAATTTTAATTTAAAAATGAAATGTCCGTATTCAAAAGTATTTAAACCTTGGGCGATTTTTACTTGTTCCAATTGGGCAAATAAATTGTACTGAAGTACACCATTTGACGTGATCGGATGAGATAAAGGTAACATTAAGGATTAAGTGTGAACTAAAGAGGGCTTATATTAATCTTTCCGAAGTTATACAAACATTAACACAAGTGTCAGTAGCACTAGTAATTATTTTGCAGACGTGCATCTCATTTTAAACTATTTAGTGTTAAGAATTTCAAGTCTAATTCTGGAACTTGTGTTTTAATTTAAAATTTTAAACATGTATTTAAGAAAAGTTAAATACAGATGATGAAATTGTTTATGAACAGTGAAGGATTTTCAAAAGGAAAATTTCATATCGAAAACTGTACTATTACTTTCCCAACATCCATAAAAATGAACTTGTTTAAGATAAATGCTAAAAAAAAATTTGGTTACTATAATATATCCAACAGATTTACCCACTTGATAAAAGCACATTAGATTTTTGCGGTATTACAGAGAGAAAAAGTTTCAACTCTCTCTCTCTCTATATATATATATATTTAAAAGATAAAAACATTTTTTGGAGTGTCTACTGCATTTTATATATCAAAGAAACAAGTAATAAAAAGGAATTTAAGTCATTTCCTACTTAGTTCAACAAGGAAATTTTTTTAATTTTTTTTATTTACTTTTTATAAAAAGTTATAAGTAATATAAATATGTATATACATATATATATATGATAGAATCACAATATTAAGTGACAAAATAGAAAGCGATTTTCCTTGCAATTTTCCGTTTTTCTTTCTATAAATGATGTTGGAATAATTTTTTGTTTGCTAATATTTATATTCATTTTAATTAAATTTAATTATTCTACTAAAATGGTATAGTAAAAGAGAAAACGCAGAAATTAAGCCATCTCAAGTGGGATTGGAAACCACGACAGCTTGGATTAAAAGTCCAACGCGCTATCCATTGCGCTACAGGGACATAACGAGTTTTTCTCTTTTTATGCATGGTGTTGGACTGTTATTTTTGTTTGTTACTTTTTATTAATTTTTTAATTTAATTAGTGAATTAATATTTGAAAAAACTGTATTAACATCAAGTGTCATCCACTACAAGTTTTAAAAAATGTATTTGAACTTGAATGAATGAATAGAAAGTATTTTATTAACGTTTGAAAACTTGAACAAGATTTATATATATATATATGGGGAGAGTGAACTAATAGTAGGAATTGAAAAATATATCAATTCTTGTATTTTAAAAAGTATTTTTAGTAGGGTACTAGTGATAATACCTTTTTGACTGAAATTAATGAATAATATATTCATTATTACTAATTCTTTTTTTATTTAACATATTATTGTGGAGAGTAACTTTCATACTTATGTTGTGAATAAAATCAGTATTAGTGAAATGTTAATTACTAAAAACAACTGAGTTGGGGAGGTAAAAAAAAAACTAAATTTAAATTTGAACAAATTTTTTTTAACAAGAGATTAGAGTATCGTACGCTTAAGACTGTCCTAGTCTGTTATTCTTTAAAAGAAATAAAGTTAGATAGGAAAAATAAATCTGATATAAACCAAGTTCGGGCTTCCGATGCTGGGTTATATAAGTAGTACACTTCTTTGCAATACTCAATTATTAGAGTTTTGAAATATGATTAATTTATGTACATAATTCATCCCTCTTTAATATAAATTAGATTTTTAAATTTTGCATGTTAAACGAAATTTGACACATATTTCAAAAAAAGAAACCAAAACTCACTCAGATTGAGATAAATAATATATTAAAACAAGATGTTATGTACATATAATGAGGTCAAAACCTACTGTTAGTAATAGATAATTTTTTAACCCAAAAATCGTTTCTGGTTTCCAATTATTCTCTTTGACGTTTTAGACTGATTTTTCTAAATGTTTGAGTTTTTATCTTCGCGAAATATTAGTAAACAGAACCTGAAATTGTTGAACACTTTCTCTAATAAAAGAATCTCTCGAACTTTTATATTATATTCTGTTTTCACTATCCTTCAGTTAATAGTGTAATTATAGGCAGGCTTATAATTTTTTTTGTTTAACCGAAAACATATTTTTGAAATTGCTTAGAAGTTTTATTGAAACATTAAACTTTATTTATTCAGTTGTATTTTTCACTGGTTATGCATTTTTTTCAGAAATAGTTTTTTTTAAATAACATCATAAAATTCACAAGAAAGTTCTGAATGACGTTCCAGAAACGAATACAACGATAAAAGGAAGGAAAAATCCAGAAGACGCGTTACTTCACACACGAAAACAACATAAATATATTGCTCTTGTTGTGCTGCCAAATGATTAAGAAAAAAAAATTGGGGCGAAACCAACGTCAAACTCAAGATCGGCGGCGAGATGCACTGCCGTTAGAGAATGTTTAAAAACGTGCTGTCGAGAGAGTGTTATTAACTTCACTCTATGAAAACCATCGAGGGCTATTGATGACGGACCTGGTAATGTTGAGCCTTGGTCAAGTGCCGAGGACGATACCTGAGTTGGCATCCTCTCTCCAAACTATCAGATCCCAGTGAAGTATAAAATTCTGAAAACCATGGACACATTTTCCCTGGACAGCACTAAAAAGTCTGGACTGACCAGGCTAAACCAACTTATAATTCTTCTCATTTGCTTAACAATCAATCTATTTTGCTTTTAGTGCACTGTTTCGTATTCTATCTTGTAAAGATAAATGGGTTTTAAGTTAAACGTGTTCAAGTGCAAAAGACGTATTTTTGGAAGATTTCCAAGTTTTAAGAATACTGAATAATAAACGGATATATATGTTTTGTGTTAATAATTTAGACTAATCTTCTGCCTGGCAATGCGCTCCAAGTTTGGATAGGTTTATTGGACATTACGCGAAGACAGCCTCCAGAACATGAACCCGATTCGGAACCTTTAGTCAAATAAATCTATAAGCCAATAAAATTATGGAATTACCAATAGTTAGTTCTAAATAAAGTAGTAGTAGTAGTAACGCGTGTTTATGTTTCATACCGTGTCCTTAGAATTCAGATTCATCCCATAAATACTTAATATATCACCTTGTGACGGATCTATACGCGTCCTTCAACTAATCAACTTGGGAAATCTTTGGACTATCAATTGAAATCAATCATAACCAACCTTTTTGAAGAAGAAATCGTGATATGCAGATTAGGTCGGTTGTATATAGTATAAGTTTTCTAGCTTTTCAGATGGATAGACGGAGTTATATGGAGATTGAGATATAGAGAATCTAATGACGAGGAGAGTTTGCTACCGATCAGGTATTAGTATATTTGATAGCGTGTTTCAAAGATTAGATAGATGAAGATATTAAAGTGACGATTAGTCCCCATAGCTAAATTATAACTCAAATATTTAGAGAAGAGGATTGATCCCATAAAAGAAGGATCAATATATATATATAAGAAGTCTTCTCATAATTCGCGTCTCTCGTGGTTTATTTCCCGATTGAAGGTATTATGGAGAGTCATCCTTCACTTCCTCCCACACCTCTAGATGGTGCTGAGAGTAGGTCACACCACTCACAACCTTAGCATGCAAGTCTAAAAATCTATTTGAAAATGCGTTGTATGAGAAGAAATATGGGATATATTTTATTCAGGGCAAACTGTATTAAGATGGTAATAAATGGCAGGAAAGGTAATCATAGTAATCATCTTAGGAAATATTTATACGAGTGGAAAATTGGTTCTCATTTCTGAGATATAAGTCTAACATGAGATTATTTTTTCGCTTTTTTTAAGTATTTTGTTTTTACTTAGACAAATTTCCCGGTTCAATGAATGATTATTTATAAACGTTGAACTACGATGTAACTCAAGGGCTATTGACAACAGATCTCATAAATTTAATTCCCAATCAAATCACGAGGATGACACCTGATTTGGTGTTCCATTCGTTAAATTCCCTGCACACCACACAAGGCCGATTTCTTGAAATTCCTATTAAAAACAAGTTAGATTAACTCTTCAACATAATTAATATTAATAAAAAAATAACATTATTAAAAGGTAAATTCGTAGTTTTTTCAATTGAAATTAAGGGTCAAAGTACAAGTTCAGAGCTCAAACGCTCAGACTAATACGGAGGGGAAGGGGGTTTCCCGCTGAGTTAACACGATTAGACCAAAGCCGAGGTCAGACAAACTACCCTACATCTTGGCGCCAATAAAATGGATTTCATTAGATATTATAATGGAATGAAGATTTTGTCGGTTATTGGAAATAAATATTTCTTCAGAGAAACATTTAATAAGGACGAAAAGACGTATTTAAAATATCTCAGAAGTATATTAATCGTGCTGATAATTTTTGTTATAATTTTTTTTATATTTTGTCCTGCTGAAATTTTTTATAATGTTTTTGTTGGAGAATTTGTAAGAACTTTCGCAGAAGTATGACTTTTTTAAATAAAATTCTACATAAATATAATTTTGGATGCAAAATTAGAGATAAGTATAAGCCATATAACCTTCATTTAACAAATATAAGAAACACGTTTAATTTCTTATTATCAATTTTAAATACTTCAGAGCGTATACAACTTGAAATATTAGCTTCCCGTTTAAGGAAAAAATAATAAATCCATTTTTGTTTATTTCTGTAATCGCAAAGATTGAAAATAACTAGATAGTTTTTCTCATATTGTTATTTTCACTATGGGAAAGTTATATCTTACATTTATAAATGAATAAAAAAAACTTTTAAAAGAGTTAGGTGTAGGGATTGCAATACCGGGATACCGAATACCGGTATTTTGAGCCATTTGTACAATTTTGTAATACCGATATTCACAAGCTTAAATACCGGTTTTTCGGTATTTACTAGAATTTTTTAAAATTGTCTCCGCTATATGTTCAGGGATCGCCAAATTAGCAAAATAGTTTACGTTTTTGTTTTTATGTTTCCCTAACAGGCGAAACTAACCAATTCAAATTTAATCGTTTATTGTAAGTTTTCTTAAAACTTTTTACCCACGAACCTTATTTACATTCAGAAGAATTCGGTACAGTTACCGAAGATAATTATGACTCTAATGTCTATAAGTGAAAAGGAATTGTCTCTTGAACAAAAAATAGAATTAGCAAAAACTAAAAAAGTTTCAACAAAACCAAAATACAATACAGATATCAGCTGTATCCAAAACCATCCCACGAGAAATCGATTTATTTGAAGATGAGAAATTTAGAGGTAAATACTTGGAAAAAGTATAACGCGTATTGCTAACAATACCACCAACTCGCGTAGAAGCCGAAAAAGCGTTTTCGACAAATAGTAATTTTTGCACATAATTACGTTCCAGACTTAAAGACCGGTACAATTAATGCATTATATTCTTTAAGATCCCATTTCAAAAATTTGTCATTGTACCATACTTTGAATAGAGATATTTTCACTTTTTTGCGATTTGAATAAATAAGATGTTCCTTTACTTTTTTTATGATTCTTTATATACTGGTATAATTTTAAAAATACAAATAAATTTGTTGTGGTATTTACATTCTCTCATTAAACAGGCAAATTTAACAAAGAAGCACCCTTGTGTTTTCTTTCTTTTCCTATAACTTCTACTACCGATTTGAAATCCAAAAAATAGTGAATACCGGTATCGAACTTATGGTCTGATATTGCAATCTCTAGTCAGGTGAGAGAATGCTTTACGGATCTTCTCAATGTCGTAGGGACAACTGGTGCTGCCATCTATAACTATATTTTCAAAAAAAATATATGCTACAACTATTTTTTTAAAAAAATACATTTTTTATAATTTAAAAGCTAAAAAATTTCTAAAAACATTGCAATTGAATAGTTATTTTTAACTAGCTGAATATTTAGATGCATTAAAAAATACTAGCATATGAAATGAAATTAAATTTTTCTCTTATTTTTCTGTCTTATACACAAATTATGAGTACGATTATCGTGCTGCCATCTA